AAAAAGATCGTCCAGTTTGGCTTGGAAATGAGGATCGACAGCGATCTTAGCAAAACTTATCAAGAAAAATTTCGAAGAATTAATAATGCACTGACGCATACAAAAATCAAACGAATACTAAATTTCATTTATCAAAAACATTCGATAGTCGTGGCTCAACGATAACCGTTTAGTCGCACGGCGAGGTTGTCACATATGCTTTAGTAGTTTTATATATATATATATATATATATATATATATATATATATATATATATATATATATATATATATATATATATATATATATATATATATATATATACTATATGAATGAATGATATATATTATAATATATATATACTAATGAATGAATGATTTTATTCGAATAAAACCATTCGATAGTTGAAATCATTCATTCATTAAACATTCGATAGTCTAATTCATTCGACGTTCCCATCGCTACACATTACCTTCCTTGTATACCGAACGGCTCTAGTATGGCAAGCTGTACCTTGCTACTCCCAAGGCGTTAAACGCTATATACGGGAGCTATTATTATTATTATAAAAGCAAATACTGTACTAAAGTGTTTCTATTTACTAAATTTTGTGTTGCAATAATAAAAATTTTACTACCTTATATACAGAATGGCTATAAGTTTATTATTAAATAATTACTAGCTTTGAAGGGCAAACACTTGTTTAATGAAAATGGAACATCCTGTATATTTTACGTGAATCAGATGCCCAATTTAATTGTTTATCAAATTGTATTATACCTCTGTTTATCTATCTCTTCAAGTTTTCGTGAAAATGCATTTTGTTATAATTTAGACCTCATTCATGAATATACCCTTGGAATATTGTCATTTTAGATTATTTTTAAATATGTAACAAATATGCACAACTCTAGTTGAAATACCTAGTTGAAACAATTGAAGCACTTAATTATAAATTTATTCTAAATTTTGTTTGCTCAAAAACAGCAGCACTCGATCACATTCATTTATATCAAATTTAGTTAAATTAATACATAGTTACAAACTATTTAGTATCGCATTCATCACATTAAGGAAAACAAATTTGACAGATTTGACATTCGAAGACTTATCGCTGATATTTTTGGTAGTTTAAAGAAATGGATTGACATATAATCAAACATAATTGATATATTAGAGTTAGTGTTTTGTAATTCGTACTCCTATGTTAGATATTTCAAATGCGTTCATTATTGTATCTTTTAAAGTTCCGTATCTCAAAAAGAAAAAAAGGAACCTTTATAGGATTTTTTTGTTTTCTGTCCGTCCGTCTGTCTGTATGTCTGTCTGTCAATACCCTTTATCTCAGGAACGCGAAATTTGTTGGTAGTGTTTAGTTGTCGGACGAAGCCTCTTTTCGACGTCATATTGAGAGTTCAGACTAACGCTAGTTATTATGCGATTTTGGATATTTTCAAGCATGAAGCCTAAAGTAAAAGGGAGTTTTCATTAATACATTAAAGATACATTAGAAAAAATTGTCCAAACTGTCCGAGAAGAGGGAAAATCGCGAAAATAATAAATAATTTACAAATTATACCACAAGAAAAAATAGTGTTATCATAATATTTTTTGATTTTTAGGTTTTCTAAGTTAATTTGACAAAAAATGTGACGAAGTTGTAACTATACCGGGTGATTCCCAAAAGTGGCTCACCCCTATAACTATATAAGACAAAAATTGGCGCCGGGAGCCACGTATAGCCGCCCATACTAAAATATGGTAAATAAAAAGTTGGTAGGCAGTTTCTTTAGTTTCAAAGTAAAGGAATTTTTCCAATTTTTTTTATCTCTAAAGCTGCGACTTTGACTGATTTTGATGTTATTACAAATTTTGTTGCAAATATTATTCCTAATCTTAAATTGAAAACCGCGTTTCGCTAGCTACTGTAATTTTGGAGTTACGATTTTTTAAAATTGTTAACCCCCTCCCATACGCCCTTACCAACCCTCCACCCCCACCAAAAACTAATGGCCAGATTCTCTGGTGCCACAATATTTTTGTGCCAAATTTGGTGAAATTTTAAAATTTTTATAATTATTTGCATAACAAAATCGATACCTATATTCTTATTCTATCTATAGTCACGCATGCATTATCTAAACAGGTGCATTAGGTAAATGTCTCTTACCTTCAAATATAGCAAATAAATGCTCTAATTTCCATTTTTTCAGAAACTCCTTTATATAATCCATATATCCTAAAATGTGTCCATAAAAAATGACAAATGCATGTTAATAACGATCACTAATTTTATACGATATGCGTTTAAAAAGCAAATTATGCAAAATTCCAAGTGGAAAATTACAAGCAACAAAATCCGTGCGTACTATGATGTGCGACCTATGAAATGCGACGTGCGATTAAAGTCGCCGGCGACTGATCGGAGCCGACTGATTGTATACCTATAGTATATACCGTCCTTCGTCATCGTCTTGTTCACCGTGTCGTTATTATTTTTCATCAAAAGAGTATTTAGCTATTGGAAAAATAGCCATGTTTCGTGAATGAAGTACTTCCTAGCGTATCTTTGTTATTATCTTAAAACAAAGTAACTTGGTTGAATGAAAATAGATTCAAGAGAAATTTTCGAATTTTTCAAGATAAGAAGTTTTCTTCAGTTAAGAGAGTGTTTCTTCAGGCAAAATATTTTCTTTTACGCCAAAATAAATTCTCTTTCCACTAATTTTTTTTTTCAAAAACGATGACGACTTTAGTTCAAGTCTACTTTTTTTATCAGTGTATATAGGAACCATAAAATCAATGCAGACAAAAGCGGGTACGCTGACAATTATTTGTTTAGAAATAATTTATATGAATAACAAAATTAGATACCCTATTTTAATTGCCTATATTTAGCATAAAACTATTACACAAATATAATTGAATATTACTGAAAAATAGCGCTTACTTTTCTTAGTAATTACACAAAAAAATCCATCAAAACTAAACCACTTTAGTACTAAAGTTTTTAAACGAAATGGAAGCAGGATTTTAAAATACGTCCAATATACCTGGATCATGACTTTGACAGACCGAAAAAACAAAAAACATAGTTGGAATAGCTTACAAATGTCTGCCATAGCCTCCTTATTTCATGAACTTTAACCGGTAAGTGTATCAGCTAAATCAGTTTGATCGTCAAAATGTAATTATTATTTCCAAGATTAATAATTAAAATGACCACTGTGCGACGTATGCAAACAAATGGAACCAGAACTTGGTTTAACCAGAGAAATTGAAAAAAAATTGTTACCTGGATTGAAAACTTAGCCGTTTTCCAAGGTGTTACTTAGGTGTTACTTAATACAGTTGAAAAAATTATATCTAGAAGAAGAAAAATTGAAAACTCTGTTTAATAATGGAAGCATGGTTTTATGAACCGCGCCGTTGCCGTTGGTATCGTTTAAAGATGATTTTTTCATATAGACAACAGACAACAATAAACGGTATATAATGTTTAAGATGATTAAATTTGCTTAAAATTATATTATCTTAAATACCTACGTGACTGTGCAGAATCACGCAATCACAAAAATTATTGGTAGGTTTATGAAAAAAACTGTTACATTTAACGTGTAGCCCAATAACCACACTATCCATTTCATAAAATTTCATTTCCATGCCATCAATAATAGTTATTATAATAGTGATTTTTTATACAAGACGATAAAATGGTATTTTATCGTCGACCGAAACGATTAATTCACGAACGATGAAATCGCGAGTGAATTAATTTCGGGAGACGAAAATGAAATTTTTTCGTCGTGTATAAAACAATATTTTTTTTCCATAGCGAGTTACGTTTTAAAAAATATTCAGAAATTATTATTTCAAGGAATTTATTACGAGTAGAAAAAAATATTGTGCTGTGTTGGCGTTGGTTTCTATGTAATTTGACAAATAAATAAAGCTGCCTTTTTAGTTGTCAGTTTTGAGTCAATATTTTTTAATTCTCTTTCGTGTCGATTGCTGATAGAATTGAAGCCAGAAATGGCTCAAAACGAAATAAGTAAATTACCAACAGATTTTCAGGCTGAGGCGACAAACGCCATATCCAAACTAGTTCCATTTGAATCCCGAATAACTTATGAAAAGGAATACAAACATTTTCAAAAATGGAAGCAATTAAAAAACGTGCGAAAAGAAATAAAGTTTTTAACCTATCCTCGCTGTTAAAGTATCATTTAATCTACCCTTGCGGTTAAAGTACTACTTTATCTACTATTTTTGATAGATATAAGGCAATTTTAACAGTCGCTATGGAAAAAAGAAAATTTAATCAACAATTGAAACTCATCAGCTTTTCAAAACTGTTCGACCACTGGTAGGTACCTATATTCACCCTATTTCATAATAATATTTCTCTATTTTGTATGTAACATTTTTAAGTATTACCATCCATTTACTTTTTCCACTCGTCTGTCTCTTTTTTGAATTAATGAAAACCAGAATACTGCAACGTTTCAAAATTCACAAAGCAGAAAACCATCTATTACCTTTTTTAACTACACTCAAGAAAGTAAAGTCTCTATAAAACAGACTTAAAAACCGAGAAAAAATGTTTCCTATTATATTAAAATTTACTCCCTGATAATGTCTATAAGTAACATAAAACACCATAGCAACAACAACACGAGCACCGCCATATTTCTTTTTCGAGAACCTAGCAACAAACATGCCACCGTATATGCAGCCCCAAGTCCCACGTTCCTGGAAAACGTATACGGCTCACACGTTGAGCTGTCATGTCACATACGGTAGCTGACACTCGTACCCTTCAGCCAAATTGAAATGTTATTCAGCAATGATGGCTGGATGCTGGCCAATGGCAACTCGCGCATCTCCCTGCGTTTCTCAGGCAACGTTCTCATTGGCCCGGAGCCTTACGGACTACCGAGCGTGTAAATCTCGCCTGTAGCCACGCCCATCGGCTGGTTGGAACAGCGCCAACGATTGTTGGTTAGGTTGGTTTAGTTCGACGCGAGGTATAGGCCAGGTGTGAGAGTCGCGTGCACGTTAGTTTTTTTATTCGGACGAAAAAGTAAAAACTGTGACGTTTTTGGATTGAAAAGTGATTTGTGAACTACTAAAAAAGAACTCAGAACTTCAAAAACTAACGTGGACTATGAAGATATAAATCCTAATTAATATAAACCATCAAGTACTGCTGCACCGTTTTTAACATGAAGACTACCATCATCTTAAAACCTCCAAAATAAATCTTTCTTGTTTGCTTTTTTTGTTGAAAAAGTGACACAAGCAGGACGGTACTACTCTGGTGTGAAACATGATCATGATGGACATTGGTGCTATGTACGGTCATCCTAATCAACATGGTACTACTTACAACGCCACGGACTCAAACTATTACGGTTACAGTAACGGTACTACTGAGTTAACTAGTCATTCGATGGGGAACCATCCCCAATATGGTGTAAGTGCGGGAGGTGGTGGTGCTGGTGGCAATGGGGGGTACCCTGGAACGGGAGGGTACCATGCGACGAGTCCTTTCGAGGATGGAACTTATTTATATGGTGAGTATAGTTATTAATTTTAATTAAATTATATTTTTGAGGTGGCAGCCAGGGCTGGCTTAATGGGGGCGCGAAGTGGGTGGCCGCCCGGGGCGGCGCCTGCTAGGGGCTGCACATCCAGGTGTAGCAAATCAATTACAACTCAAAAATTTCGTAAATATTTTTATTAACATCGGCCAAAGATTTGAAAAGAAAATGACATCAATAACATAAATAGAACCGATACTAAACATTGTTTAAATAAGCTTATTGTTATGCGAACTTTGTATGCATGATTGGGACAACCCACAAAAGGCTCATGTGTGTTGTGTTGCATAGCCTCGGGCATAAGTGAACAAATTTGATTAAGAAAGACAATGCATTGCGCGAGAGAGAGAGAACAATAGAAGTTTCCTAGAAAAGAAGAGAAATAATAAAGGTCCAGAAGATCAACCTCTGTCAGCGCAACGTCGAGTACATCATCAGTAGTCGAAAATCTTAATTATGATGAAAATAAGACAATGATTAGACAGGTTTCCACTAGTAGAGATCATACCCCGAGTGTAATGAAGAAACTAATAATTTAGTAATCGATCCTGATCCAGCCAAATGGCCAGAAATAATTATGGATAAAGATAGAGTCTTTTTAGTGAAGAGAGGGCTACCACCAGCACTAACCAATTTTAGATTTCCCCTTGATAAAAACGGGAGAAAATTTACCTCATTTAATTTTAACCGTGTCTTAAGCAACGGAGAATCCGTCAAAAGAAATTGGTTAATATACTCAACTTCTAAAAATGTTCTTTTCTGCTTTTGTTGTAAACTCTTTGCTCATTCAAATAAAACTAATCTATCTAATGAAGGATTCAACAACTGGAAACATACTGGAGTTACATTGAAAAAACATGAACTATCAATTGCCCACATGTTAGCCCAAAAATCCTGGTCAGAACTATCTATAAGGTTAAATCAGATGCAAGTTATTGACGCTTTGATCCAAAGATTAATTGATTCTGAAACTAAACACTGGAACAGCGTTGTACAGCGAATTATATCAATTATCCAATGCTTAGGTGAAAGTTGCTTGGCCTTTAGAGGTTCCTCTGATAAACTTTACGAACATAATAATGGAAATTTCCTTAAATTAGTCCAGCTACTCGCAAAATTTGACCCAATAATGGAAGAACACGTGAATCGAGTTATGCGTGACGATACCAGAAAAGTACATTATTTGTGCAAAAATATACAGAATGAAATTATCACCTTACTATCAGAGGAAATAAAAAAACATATAATTACTCAGGTCAATGAAGCGAAACAGACCTCAGCAAAATAGAGCAAATGACAATGATAATCAGATTTGTTTCTGTCTCCAAAGTAGGAAACGAAGTCAATGTGAAGATATGTGAGCACTTTTTAGGATTTGTTCCGATTGAAAAAGCAACCGGTCTTCAACTTTCTGAGATACTAATTAATCAACTAAGTGAAATGCAAATCCCAATAGAACACATGAGGGGTCAGGGATACGATAATGGCTCCAATATGAGGGGTTTACGGGCAGGTGTGCAAAGCCGAATTCGTAACATAAATCCACGGGCATTTTTTGTTCCTTGCAGCAGTCACTCTTTAAATTTAGTCGTTAATGATATGGCATCGACCTCTTTGGAAGCCACAATTTTTTTTGGAATTATCCAAAAAACTTATGTTTTCTTTGCAGCATCCGCACAACGATGGGATACCCTAAAGAGACATATTTCTTCTCTTACTTTGAAGCCCCTAAGTAGTACGAGAAAGCAGAGTAGATGCAGTTAAGCCGTTTAGATATCAAATTGGCGAAATCTATGATGCTCTGCTAAATATTTTTGAAAATCCTGAAATCGAAATTTCGGCAAGAAATGAAGCTTCAGGTTTGCTGGAACAACTGAAGAATTTTAAATTTTTATGCTCTGTTATAATTTGGTACGACGTCTTAAATCACATAAATCCAATAAGTAAATTATTACAGAGCAAGCAGTTGGACTTACAAAAACACAATAAATATTTTGGATAAAACAAAGACATATATCAACAATCTTCGCTCTGACAACGCATTCAACCGTTTTTTGGTAGATGCTAAAGAATTAGCAACAGAGATTGATGTAGACGCCCACTTTCCAGAAACTAAAACTAGACCTCGTACACGTAAAGTAAAACGTCAGTTTGATTACGAAGCTTCCGATGAACTTATAGTTGACCCAAAAGAAAAGATTTTTTTTTCCAATATTAGACGCAGCTGCAAACTCTCTCGATCAGCGTTTCGAGCAAATAAAAGAGCACAGTAAATATTTCCACTTTTTATATGATATTCATTTGCTTCAAAAATCTTCGTCAGCTGAGGTATTGAGTTTTTGCCATGATTTAGGACATATTCTTAAACATGAAGATGCTTTAGACGTGAACGCGACAGAACTGGCTGATGAACTCTCTGTGTTGTGTACGTTAGTGGAACCCAAACAAACTCCCATTGAAATCTTAAAATTGGCGATTCAACTAAATATTGCCCCTAATGTTGTAGCCTTCAGGATCTTATTAACATTGTCGATAACTGTTGCAAGTGGCGAGAGAAGTTTCTCCAAGTTGAAACTAATTAAAACGTACTTGAGATCAACTATGAGCCAAGTAAGGTTAAGTGGCTTATTGAGCATGAACTTGGATCAAAATTAAAAATTGATCAGCTACTTACTGAATTTGCTGCGTCTAAAGCACGAAAACACTTTAATTAAGAATTTCATCGTTGATTCATTTTTTAAGTTTACTTTTTAAGTTTATATTTGATTTTTATTTTGTTACCCGATTTTGTATGTTGATATAAATAAAGTTTGTTTCTCGATCTCGACTTCAAATTTTCCCTAAGAGAATCAGGGCGCCTATCATGGGGCGGTAAAATTACTCATCGCCCAGGGCGGCATAAGACCTAGAGCCGGCCCTGGTGGCAGTTGATCTGGCATATAACCACTAGAGTACAGGCCCAACTAGCAAATATAGTTCCCAGTCATTTTTAAAATATCACTGCCCCTAAAGTATAGTTCCTAGGCCCACTCTGCCACTTAAAATTATATTTCGAGAGTGACCAGTCCCTAATTACCATAAAAGTGGAAAATAAACACCCCGATTGCAAGTCGCAAACATGTAATTTAAAGAAGTGGCTGGAACTACCCGAATCTTCGAATATGACACCATAAAAGACCAAAAACTTTATAGTAACTTTGTAAGTAGGGGTTACCAACAAGTGCTACCATAATGCCTCCATTACGTTTTTGTTACTTTATAGTAACAATTTAAGTTACGGGGTAGTCGCGGCCACGACACCTAGTTACTTCTAATTTATAGTAGCATTGAAAGTAGCAAAATGGTTATTGCTACCTTTCTAGGTCACTATAAAGTAGCCGTCGCTCATCCATTGCCACTAAAAAGTCACGGGGGTCAAAAACAGCTACTTTATAGTAACCGTAACTTAATATACCAGATTGCATCGTTTGCTGCTCTATTTTAGTGTTTTCTTTTACTTGCTTTTAAGCTTTACTAAAATGTTGTAAAACTTAATGTGAATAAAAAGAAATTTAGATTTCTACCAAAGAATTAAACAAAATGAATCACTGCGAGCCGATGCATCAACATCAGAAACAAAAACTACATCTTTCTATAATCCTACTGATGAACATCATAAATCAGGTAGTGACTGAGACATTTTTGAAGCTGTTTCTGTAGATGAATGTAGTGTTAGTTCATCTGAAACTGAATCTCAGAGGAGAACTAATTTGAGAACCAACAACAATATAAAACAAGAGCTAAAAGAGTGGACGTTAAAATACTCTATACCTCATGTAGCTCTGAATAATATAGAAACACTAATAATAGAAAACGCACAATAAGTAAAAAATAACTTCAAAGGACAAGGCGGAACGTTATAGTAGCACCAATGGAATGTATAGTAAGTCGCCTTTGGATAGCTACAATTGTGACTTTATCAATCCGAAGATTTTAAAGGTTCAAACGGGTAGGGGTGGCCTAATATGTTATTGTTCCCGGCACTTTGTGGAAGCATATGGAACTATAAAGTATTTTTCGGATTAAACGGCCATATTTTTTTCATGAATTTTTAGACGAACAGCCAAATGGCTCAAACATTATGCGTTTTTAAGCTAAATATACCCAGATTAAAGATTTTTTCCTTAGTTATTTTGTTATTCCTGACGGTGGACTAATATTTTAAAATTATTATTATTTTTTAATTACAAACATGAGTATCTATTGCAAATAATATAATAATTTGAAATATTTTCAGAGGCGCTCGAAAATTTTGATGTATAAACCCACTATTTTATTCAGTAAAGTTGATTGCGTTCTGGAATTTAACTAAAAAAGGCAAATCGCACGGTAAATAACAAATAACGAAAAAATAATAATGGCTTCCATAATTATTTTCCATCATGACATTTATTTTTATGAAATGTGAAATTGCATGAAGAAGTCGCTGCCAATGAAGTTCAACAGTTTAAAGGTCTTGGTTATTCCCAACATATTTCGTTCCATTGAGCATTGTATGACCTGCAGTTTCCTTATAATACCCGTTTTAAGTGTCCAGGTTTTGCATGCATAGGTCATGACTGGTATAGTACACATTGGTCGAATGTATTCTTGTTTAGATAAAGTGGCATTCTAGATTTCAATATGACTGAGTTTCTTTCATAAGTACTCCATGCTAACTTAATTCTTCTGTCGATTCCCGGTAGTAGAGATCCCGAGCTGTGTATTAGTGTCCTATTCTCCCACCAGGTGCCTTCTCTGTTGAGGTTGGCGATTAATATGGCATATGACTCTCTGTGCAGAGCTTGGTAAATAAGGGTGTTTCCGTCGGTGTGGGTCCAATCTCTTATGTTACGTAGCCATGATTTCTTTTTCCTCCCTATGCTACGTTTTCAATCGATTTTTCCTTCTATTATGAGCCGTATTTCTTCATATTCTGAGTGCCGCATTATATG